GGCTGTTTCCAATGTGGCCTTGAACTCACAGAGATCCCAGATGGATCTCTGCCTCTGGAATGCTAGAATTAAAGGCGTGTGCTATCACTGCCTAACTAGTGGCTTTTCTGTTCTCTGACCCCAGATAAGTTTATTAAAGTACACAATATTTTGGGGAACACAATACCACCACAACTTCATCAAGAAACTAATCTTTTATGGCTTATCAGAAATTTCATGTTCACCCTTAAAAACAAAAAAACCCAAAAACTCGGCATGTAGAACACGCCTTTAATCCCGGCAGAGACAGGCATCTCTCTGTGAGTCTGAGGCCAGCCTGATTTATATAGTGAGTGAGTTCCAGGTCAGCGCGCGAGCATGCGCGCGTGTGTGTACACACACACACACACACACACACACACACACACACACACACACAAATTTTTTTTTAAAAAGGAGGCTATCCTTTTAGCTAACAGGTATTTTGATTCTTTTTTTTTTTTTTCTTTCTAGACAGGGTTTCTCTGTGTAGCTTTGCGCCTCTCCTGGAACTCACTTGGTAGCCCAGGCTGGCCTCGAACTCACAGAGATCCGCCTGGCTCTGCCTCCCAAGTGCTGGGACTAAAGGCGTGCGCCACCACCGCCGCCCGGCTATTCTTTGCCCATAGTCGTGCAAGGGCAATCGCAGGAAGCCTTAATGCTGTACATAACCCAAGACAGACATGCAACCTTTTATGGATCCTATTAGACAAGAGTTCATTGGCAAGCAACACACAATACTAACTTTTAAACAGTACATTAGTAAGAAAGAAGGTCAACTCAAAATTCAACCAGTAGATTAAAGCACACAACCCTGGCCAACCTGACATCCTTTGTCTATTTAATCCTTTGCCACAGAAGGTCAAAAAAGGTTACAGAGATGACAATAAGTGTTCAAGAGCATTCCAAAAAAACAAAGGAGAATGTCAAAGCATTAATTCTAAACATAGCAGAGGAACAGACTACATCTGCCATTTGCTGCCTAGGGTAGGGAAAGACACACAGGAGCCACACAGCATTACAGTTACAGATGTGATTGAAACCGTTTAAATTCAGCGTTTTGTTTTCCTTAGCCACTTTCATGCCTTGGTCAAACTGCCCTACCTCTAGTTAGAATAAACAAACTACCATTCCCGACATCAGCTGATTGTCTCACACCAGCTGTGGGCAGCTTCCCTTTTCCAAGATGAAACTTTTCCTGGCCCCACCTACTAGGTTAACTAGAATTCTCACACATCCCCATCTAAGGACCCCAGGCGGTGCCTGGACTTGAGCAGACGTTGCGGCCAGCGATCCACACACACTCTTCTCCCGCCACTATGAGCTCCATGCTCATCCTTACACACCTGGTGTTGCACACTAAGTAGGTCCTTTGGGCCAACTGTGAACTAAACGAACTATACTACGCTAAGGTAAAGAATGTCAGACACCTATGATTAAGATGGAAAACTGTGCTAGTGTCTAAACCTACAGGAATGCTAACTAAGCTGCAGCGTCCCCGCAGCGCAGCAGAGGGGTCTGGTATGGTGCTTTGGGTGCCAGTCAACTGACTCACTCTGCTGGGGTCACGGCAGACAGGTATCCTGTCTTCTTCATTCTGTTCCACAGACGTTTTCAGTTTTTACTGACGAGAGTTAAATTATTACATGAGAAAAATACGTTTAAGTTTACAAAAAGTATAATGGATAGAAACATTTTGAAAAACATTTGAAAATCTAAAAATTATATGGCATTCTTTCCCTGACCTCCTTAAGCACATTCATTGTAACCATGAAAGGGAGCTCGTCAGATGTGTACTTAAAATTCATCTGCCTGCAGGACACATGGAAGTAGGAGATGAACTCAGAAATCAGCAGATTTAAAACTGAAATATGATGAAGACCTAGCAGGGCGGTGGTGGCGCACGCCTTTAATCCCAGCACTCGGGAGGCAGAGCCAGGAAAGGCACAAAGCTACACAGAGAAACCCTGTCTTAACAAAACAAAAGACAAAAAAGAAATATCATAATGCAGAGAACATTAAAGCGAAGGGAGCAGGAAGGCTGGGGCTGGAGCTGGCTCAGCAGTGACAAGCACTTCCTACTCCTGCAGAGGACCTAAAGACAGCGAGTTACAGGGACCAGACTGAGGGGTCTACCGAGAGATGGTGACTGCCTTGTCCTCTAAAGCAAGAGACAAAGAAATAAGAATGAGGGGACTAGAGAAATAGCTTCAGAATCAGATACCTTCTTCTGGCCTCTGCAGGCACAGGTACAACACACACACACACACACACACACACACACACACACACACACACACACACACACACGCAGGCACAAGAGCAAAAGGGTAGACAGGTCAGCAAATAAGCTGAAGTAGATGACATCTCCCATCTTAGAAAAGACAAGAGCTGTACAAGGGACCTGCAGAAACTGGTAAGAGGAGTGAGTGACCAAGAAGTTCTTTGTGAAAGGATATGTGGTGGTTTGAAAGAAAATGGCCTCCAAAGGAGTGGCACTATTAGGAGGTGTGGCCTTGTTGGAGGAAGTATGTCACTGTAGGGGTGGGCTTTGAGGTCTCCTTTTCTCAAGATTCCCTCAGTGTGACAGTCAGAAGACTTCCTGTTGCCTGCAAGATGTAGGACTCTCAGCTCCAGCACCATGTCTGCCTGCACACTGCCATGTTCCCCATCATGATGATAGGGGGCTGAACCTCTGAAATTGTGAAACAAGCTACCTCAATTAAATGTTTTCCTTTATAAGAGTTGGAGTGATCATGGTGTCTCTTCACAGCAATAAAAACCAAACTAAGACAGAAGTTGGTACCAAGGACTGGGGTATTACTGTGAGAGGCCAAAGCGTGTGTTTGTTTGGAGGAATTGAACTTTGGTACTTTGGGTTAAGAAAGCACTGCTGAATGGGCCATCCTAGCAGGAGCATGGAAGACAGAGGCACTGAGTGAGGTTTGAACTGGGGGGGG